GACATTTGATAATATTAACTAATGACTTTAGGTGCAAATTTTTAATACTAGGTAGATATGCATGAGATGTATATCTTCCGTGTTATGATTTTATTCCTTTAATTATTAGTCATCAGTCATCACCACCATGAAGATTTGGAACATTTTCTTGGAATTTGAGCAAATTAAATACAAATAAATCGTATTTATTACTTTAATCTTTCTTAAATTTATTAATCCATAGTGAGAAAGTGATTTTGAGTGTGAGAAGTTAGTAACACATTTATATTATAATAATAATCATGTATTATGGCCAAATATTTGTTAATCTGAAAATTCAAACAACCTATTTGTAATTTGTCAAAACTTAAGGGATGGTCAGTGTAATTTATCCTATTGTCTTTTCATACAAAGAAGGGCAAATTTGTTATTTTATAAAATTTGATCACCATGTCTCCGTAGGAAAACGCTAGAGTGTTGTTAAGCGAATGTCAAAGTAATAAAAGTTGGTCAATCAATTGTATGTAATTTGTACAAACTTCAGTGCAGATCAATGTAATTTATCCTTAAATCTTTGTTTTCTATTACTTTTACTTATGCCAGCTTTGGACTACTTAGTCTCAGAGACAACTTATTTTGATAACTCATTTTGATCCATTATACCGTTGTTTTTTTTTTTTTTTTTTTTTTGTTGAAAAAGTGTTTTGTTATATGGTGTTTTGGGTAATAATTGAAAATATATAGTAAAAAGTGTTTAGTAAACATATTTAGTAATGTCTATTTGTTGCAAAAGTTTTGAAAGAATAAATATAAAAACATATTTGGTAAAAAGTGTTTCAAATTTAAAAATATAATGGCTAGTTTAAAAATGTCATTTCAAAGTTTTTAATATTTTTTTGATACCATTTATTGTTACGGTACATCCTAAAAACCTAAATCGGTATATCAACTTTTTAGCCACTCTTTACAACACGTTTTCATGTTCTACAAAATAAAACATTTTTTACTAAATGCAATTTTTTTCACCACAAAAACAAAAACATCAAAAATAAAACATGTACCAAACATGCCTTTAATTTGCAAGTGTTTTAGATTTGTTGCATAGTGTAATCTGAACACTCTTGCCAGATTTTTCCAGCATTTTAGATGCATTGGGCTTCATTTTCGTTGCAATTCTAAAGAGTTCAGCATGATAATGATTAAAATTGAAAATTTTGAATTGCATGATTTGGGTAAAATTAATTGCCTGGAAATGATAAAGAACACGGTCTGTTTTGATTGGTGATTTCATGGCGATTTCAACATTGTAAAGAAAATGTTAATCCAGATTCTGACTGTAGGCACAATCCAGTGCCAAGTAAAGGAAAAAAGTCAACAGATATATAATACAGAAGTTCACGGTTTTTGCGCCCCCAATTAATAAGGGTAGAAAATTACGAAAGGGTATGTTCTCTCTTCTACAAAAGGGTGAGGTTAGTACTATGTTCGGTAGGAATGAAGAAAGAGGTGTGAAGAGAGAAAATATAAAGTAATGAATGAATTTTTTTGGTTCGGTAGAGATGATATAAGGAAAGAAAGAAAAATAGGAAGGATGACTTAGGGTGCACACAGTCCGATTTGGTCCGGTTTTGAGAATTTTTGGAACCAAACCGCTCCCTGCGGTTCCAGAAAATCTGAAACCGAATCAGACCATTTGAGCTATGGAACCGAACCAGCCCAAACCGTGAAAAACGATTCAGTTTCACAATTCTAGTTGAATATTTTTTCCCCTTGAATTATGTATACAACAAAAATAACAATAAAAACATTCATATTCCGGAATCCAAGACTAAAATAGAGAGAGAAAAAGAAAGAGAAAAGTTGGTAAAATAGATCCAAAAGCTAAACCTTATAAATTAAAATAAGGTTGAATCTTGTTGAAACTGAAAAAGATGACAAATCTATGATGGAAAACTAAGAAACTTGATTCGTTGTTGTTGTTGGTTGTGCTTGAGGCGCAAATACGCTGTGAGACTCAAAGATTTATGAATTGAAAGTGAGAGAGAAGGGGACAGAGTGTGAGAAAGGATGCCACCAAAGGCAATGATAAAAGATCGACGACAATGACCCGACTTCAAAGGTTACGTGAGGAAGATTAATCAATAACTAGATATCGCGACGATGACAACAAAAAAGTGAATAAGGCAGCGTGAGCAAAAAAAAAAAAAATATAGTGGAGGAATGTTGGAACGTACACAAAATTCAAAACATTGAGAGAAAGAAAAGCAAATAAAAAAATATCAAATAGTGATGAATGTTGACTCACGTTTGATTGTTATGTCGAAATCCCTTACAATGTTAAAAGTAGTATATAGGTATAGCTATATATATATAATATATAACACACACATATATATATACACACATTTTATAACGGTTCGGTGTAGGCCGGTCTAGTCCTGTAGGACCTTAATCCAGGACCAAACCAAAAATTCACGGTTCCATTATTTTAGAACCGTGACCGCACCGAATCGCTATGGAACCGCCCAGACCGCCCAATTAGGTCCGGTCCAGTTTGGTTTTTCGGGTTGACAGTTATTTTGCACACCCCTAGAATGACTCATCCTCATCTTTTACAAATTTTCATCTGCCCAAAAATGGGCGAAAGAAATGAGAGAAGACAACTAGACTATTAAAAAAGTTTTTAAATTAAATACTATCATAAAAATTATAATATTGTCCTCTATAAATTACAATAGTATAAATATTATTGGATAAAATGGTAAAAATAATTAAAACTTTCTCTTTCATTCTCTCTTAACGATCAAACATAGTAAATTATGAATTTATTTTCTTTTCTTCTATCCAACCAACCAAATATATATATATATACACAATCCTTTCCTAGTGATGTCTTATCCATCCCTTCTTAATTCTCTCCCTTCTATCCAATTTTTTCTAGAGCATAATAGTTTCGATAGGGATGATAATATTGTAGGATTGTGTATATGTTGCTTTAAACTTTTTTTAAATAATAACAATGCAAGAAAATTCTGCTTTGTTTGACATAAGTATTAAGGAAGAAAGTGTAAGAAAGAGATAAGGCATTATTTAGTAGCTTAATTGGTAGAGCTCTCCGAGCAAATGTGCTGGGAGAGTGGAACAAATATAAGGGAGAAGGGAGAGCGGAGATGATCCAAAATTGAAAGAGATTGCCTTAACAGTATTTTACTAATTTATCTACATTTTTTTTTTTTTTAATTCACACAATCCCTTTTGAGAAGTAGAAAAAATATCATTAGACCACAAGATCCCCTCCGGGACATTTCGGCAAAGTAACTTGGTAGATAATTGAAAGTTAAAAATGATATATCTGTAAGTCGGTCGAGGAATGCCAAAAATTATTGCATGGCCCCGGGTCGATTATTAGTCAACACGTAAGTAAGTAAATGCGTCAGATTTGTGTTGATTTTGTTTAGCGTTTTGTTTACACATTGACTATTAATTGTCTCAAACCATGTAATAATTTATAAAGAAAAGCCCCATCTTTCTTTTCTTCCTCTGTATCTTACTTTCTTCTAACCAAACAATAGAATAATCTTCATTCCTTCATTTGTTCCGTCTTTCATTCCAATCAAACAAAATCAGAGAGAGAAGTTCTGAACAAACGGTTATTGTGCCACCAATTTAGTTATGCACAAAATTTTCAACCTGAAGGATTAAAATCTATCCTTAATATATATATATATATAGATATAGATATAGGAGTGAATCCCATTTTGACATTTCATGATGATCTAATTCCTTAATATATATATATATATATATATATATATATAGATATAGATATAGGAGTGAATCCCATTTTTTGACATTTCATGATGATCTAATTTGTTCAAGACAATAAAAACAAGAATATTTGTGACTTTTCTAATCCATTCTAGAATGTTACCATTTGACTTCTGGACCGAAAGGGATAAACCAGACAGAAAGAGATGATGGAGATTGTGAGCTAAGAGAATGTAGATGTGGAATGTATGCAAGTCCTCACAAATTGTCTTCACAACTTCCGCTAATCTCACTATTGTGTTCAAATTAAACATGCCATGAATGGAGGCACATTGGTAATAATTAGGTAACATAAATTGTCTTCTTCTAAACCAATAGAAAAGTATGAATAGGATTCTCCATATGTCACGTTGATAATGCAATAATTATGTAAATTTTGTTATATTTTTTATATAATTTTTTTTTTAAGTTGTTACATCAGTGTTGCATTTTGTAACATTGTTGCATGTGTTGCATTGTAAAACAGTTATGTTGCGTTTTAAAAAGTACTGTATATGGTTGTATGCATTTGGCTTAAATTGCTATAACTAGGTGGTACATGAAAAAACAAACAAAAATATATATACATAAAGAGTTGTGTTATTCACAGTGAAAGTCTACACAAGCTCAGTCTTCGAATCATGTAAATTTCAGAATGAGGGTGTTAAATCTTGCCTTACATATAAAAAAATTGCCGCATTAACGTCACCAACTCAATCTTTAAATCCTGTGAATTATGTGAAGTCCTTGTAAAACAAAAAAAAAATTTGACACTTTAGTACCATCTGCTGCATTGGGTTTTCATTGTCGACTCAAATAATTATGGAAAATAATTAAACCTTATAATTGGTTACACCTATTATGATTTTTAAGACTATCAGTAAAAATGATTTACGTGTATAAATAGTCAAGCAATTCACTGCAATGATCACTGTAGTGATTGGAATCATTCAACATGCTGAGATCTACTTGATGATGTGATATATATAATTCTCGCTATCAGCTGTTAGTTTCACTAATTTATTTGACTAAAAACATTTGATACCCACCAAGAAAAAACCAGAAGTACTGCCAAACTACAAGTTACAAGTGGATATGGCCCACATTTTGGCACTATTCAAGAACTAGTCTCAAAACTCAAAACCACCTCTCTCTCTCTCTCTCTCTCTCTATCTCTCTAAGTCGGCACTTTATTAAATGAGAAATTTTCAAACCCCTTGTGGTTTGTTCTTTTTCCATATTTCTTTTTAAAACTTTTACATATTTATAACTTGTATTAATTATATAGGCCAAAGTCTCCATTTCACTCTTTCAAGTTCACACCCCTATTAGTCATTTGTCTTCCTCCTATATAAATTCACATACCACAGTCCTATCTCTCATTCTTAACCAGCTATATCTCAAGAAAGCACTAAAGATGTCTAAAGTTACCTCTCTGATCATGATAGTCCTCCTCCTTTGCTTCACCCTATCCTACGCAGCCCGGCCTGAGCCAACAAAGCTCCCTGAGGTCACTCCGGCAAACACTCAACGCGTAAGTTCAAAACTTATGTCTGTTTATGATTGACAGAGGATGCTAGCCGAGGGATTTTCTATTCCTTAGATGCATTGAATAAGATAATTAGCATTCTTGAATTTTTGTGTTAAATTTTTTTTTTTTTTTTTTTCTTCAGGTTGTTGAAGCTCAGAAGTTTGAGGTGGCAGATGAGAGCTGTGAAGGAGTTGGGGATGAAGAGTGCTTAATGAGAAGGACTTTGGCTGCTCATATTGACTATATTTATACCCAAAAGCAGAAGCCATAGACTTTTTATTTATTTTTATATGTTTATTTTCTTGTTTGGTTTGTAAGATATGTTCTGTTTGGCTGTGGGTTATTTACTAACTAGTTTTCACTGGATTACCAATCTTGTTATCGTTGTGAGGTTTATCAGATGAGATGAACTCATGTACTGGATTTTGAATATCTTTGCTTTATGTTTTGAACAAAAATATATTATGTAGTTCATTTTGAATATATATATATCCTTGCCTTTCCCTTTGTATTTCTTGCTGTTTTCTGTTTTTGTGTGTGTGTGTGTGTGTTTTTTTACTGTGGGAAGATGAGGTAAGTTAATATTGAGTTATTAATCCTTAGTAGAGTGATATGACCAAGTTCTCTTTGGATTTTTAGTTCTTAAAGATGACATGAGAGCAAATTAGTAATGATAGTAATGAATTAAAAAAAAAACTGCTTCTAGGGTCCTACATTATTATTAGTATTATAATGTTGTTGTTGTTCCTTATTCTAACCAAAAAATCAAATTTCATTAACATGGAGAAAGAAAAAAAATGCAGTCAATTAGGATTAAAGAAATGGATTGACTATAAAAATCTTAATCAATTATGATTTCATTTCATAATGTGTAAAATGCCAAAAAAGAAAAACCTTGTTATATAAAGAATGTGTAAAGAAAAATCGACTCCTTATATGTTTCAAATTGAACAAATAAGAACATTTATTAATTTAAATATTAAAATATCAAAAATAGCCTTAGGGTGTGTTCGGAATTAGAATTTGTGGAATTTGAAAAAAAAAAACAATTAAAAAAATTGAATCAAAATTTTCACCAATTTCAATTTCAAAGCTTCAATTCCATATAAATGAACAAATCATTAAAACAAAATAAATATAAAAACGCTTATTTCAATTTTTAAGGGTATTTTAAGGTTATTTTGGCAGGAGGGTATTTATAAAAAAAATAAAAAATAAAAAATAAATAAAATTTGTCAAATTGACCGTCAACAAATATTTAAGAGGCAATTTATGATTATTTTCAAATTATAAAGATTTTTATATAATAGCGTTTTTTTTTTTTTCTTTTCAATTTACCCTTTTATAATTAATTTATACATGCTCATATTACAAGTTACCAAAAATAGTGAAAAGGCAAGGCCAGATAAAAATTTAGAAAACCTTCTAGTGGAAGTAGGACTAGGAGAAGTCTACTTAGTAGCCTAGTAGTAGTACCTACCACATAATTCAAAGTTCATATAGTTTAGTACCTACCATGGCTATATATATATATATATATATATTCTCTCAGTATAGAAAAGAGTTATTGCTGAAACCTAATAATAACAAAATTAGTTTCTAGTTAGCATGCGCAGTCTCATTTAATGTTCTTCTCATGCATTCCATTTCCTGCAGTGTTGAATGTTCATGTGTGTGTGTGTATATATAGATATAGTCCATTTATATTCCCCACCATAACTAACATCTATAAATGAGAGGAAAGACTAAATTTGGCGTTCTTGACCCGGCCTCTCTCCCCGTACTTGTTGACTTCACTTTTTTCTTTTTTGACTTTACAATCGCAACTTCAATTTTGTGTTCCCTGCATTGATTCGAAGTGAATATTATCCATTGGTAGAATCCAGAATCTGTACTTTATATATATATATATATATATATATACATATACATATGCGTACACATTTTTTAACGTAGAATGTAACAATACACGAAATACAATATTGCTACAATATCCTTAAAAACATTTAACTTGAAGATACAACATTCATCAACAATGCAATAAATTTACTTTTATAATGTAAACATAGTGTATTGCATTCTTAACGTAATTGTTTTGCATTTTTAATTTAATGTAATTGTTTCATTGTATTGCATATATTTTTAAGTGACGCACAAGTTTCATGTATGAATAATTTGTACGAAAAAAAGTTTCATGTGCGAGCATAATCAATGATGACTATCATTTCAAATCTCTCCCAATCTTTTCTTCTCTCCCTATTTAAAACAATCCAAACACATTTCACACTATTCTTTCTTTTATTTTATTTTCAAATCATTCAATCAAAACACACTCTTAGACCTATTTATCTAACCGGATGGTCTAACCTACTTAATTCAATCAAAACACATCAAAAAATTCTAAGTGATTGAATCAAATTATTAGACCTGACTATTTACTTTAAAATTTTATTTTTCTCCTGATATTCATTTTTTATTCAAATCATTGTTGCGTTCTGATTTTTGCAATCATGATTGAGCTCATGTAGACGAGGGTTGTCAAATGTAATTGACGAATGGTCAATGAAATATATAGAGAATTAATTCAAATAATAATGTTTAATAGACAATAGTTGGTTGTTGGCACACAGAAACAGCTTTATAAAACACACATTTTTGGATGTGTTTATAAAGTTGTATTAGAGTGTGAAGAGCCATTCATTATTAGCCGACTTCGAGTCAATGTTTGCAACTATCAACTTGCAAGATATGGTTGGATTTTAATTGAAATCTATTTATTAACAAAAAAAAAAAAAAATCGATAGTGTTTAATGGGAAACCAAAAAAAAAAAAAAACGCATTTATTGGTATATTCTCCACCATTCAAATTTTTTATTTTTTTTCTTTCTTTTTCATGTACGTGTGTTAGGTAAATACTCACATACAGTACATACTCACATACACCACTGCGATAAATTCTAACCTCAACTCCCTATAAAGGGAAGAGAGATTATACCGAGAGTTGGACGTATTTTGGTGGACAAATTGTTGCTTAATGCAGCGAAAACCACGTTATGATGAACTCGAATATGAACTTCCTATAAAGAGAGGGGAGATTATACCAACTGTGTTAATAGTAGTTTGAGGTATTTTGTTGGATAAACTATGACTTGATGCAATGAAAACCAATTTACGTAATTTTTTGGAGTTCAACGCAATGTGCCAAAAAAAAAAAAAAAAAAACATTTAGTACAAATCGAGACTAGAGTGGACTTATATTTGAAGCTCATATAAAATGTAAGGTTTATGACTTATGAGGCTGAGCCTGGTAAAGTTTGGTTCAAATAAAGTTTTCATTTCAAAGTTATTTAAAAACATAACTTAATTCAATATTAAGAGGCGACAAAGGATTTCTTATAAATATAAATATAATTTTTAAATATGAAAAAAAAAAAAAAAAAAAAAAAAAAAAAAACATTAATCAATCAGGGCCGGCCACGCAGTCACCTAAGGCCTCCAATTTAAGCCCAAAAAAAGTTTAAACCTAGAACCTCTCAAATTTAGTATATTCGCCTAGGGCCTCCCAAAGTGTTGGGCCTCTCAGGCCGGCCCTGTAATCAATGGATCTAGGGGACCTCACCATTATGTTAATCAGGAGGAGTGGAAAGAGTGAAAATCTGGGTAAGAGTTTCAAGTTTGTCATTCAGGGAGAGTAATCCCTGTTGCAGATCAAACTGCGCAAGAAGTCCAAACCGCTAACAGCATTTAGCACGCCTCACGGTCATTACCAATGGACCGTTATGCCCTTTGGTCTTAACACAGCACCACAGATCTATCAACGATGGATGGATTCCATCTTTAATGATCTTAAAGATTTTGTTGTTGTTTATATTGATGACATTTTAGTTTTCTCTAAGACTAGAGAAGAGCATAAACATCATCTCCTCTGCCTTTCAGAAAAACTGAAAAAGTACGGCATTATTTTATCCCCTACGAAGATCGATGTTGAACAAGAATCCATTGATTTTCTCGGCTTAGTTTTAACCCACAAAGGTATAAAACTACAGGATCACATAATTATCAAGATCCGTGATTTCCCAGATATCCTTCAAGATAAAAAACAACTTCAAAGCTTTTTAGGCATCTTGAATTATGGTCGATCTTTTATTAAAGGGTTGGCACAAAAGGAACTTCCTTTATTAAAAAAGCTACAGAAAAATGTCCCCTTTGATTGGACCGCTAATGACACCACCATTATCCAACAGATCAAAGCCGATTTGATACAGATCCCTGAAGTTTATTTTCCCCAGACTGGTGATAAACTTATTCTTGAAACAGATGCTTCGGACCTCTGTTGGGGATGTGTCTTAAAAGCCATTCCTCAAGAAAAATGGACTGATGACACCCCATCATCTCCCAATGAATATAATAGACCAATCCGGACTCTCTCTTGTATCATATGACATGGTACTATTTTGCTAATATTGGTGCAACATATACATAAAAAAAAAATTTAAAATTAAAAATTGTTGCACAAAGATGAAATGGCACTGGAGAGGATACAGGTTCCGTAATAGACACCATGAGAAACATGACTTTCAACACCAAGGATGGTTAACTTTTAACTCTAAAGATGGTTATTTCACCAACAAAGTAAGAAGTGATAACACAGAGATTCATTGAAAAGAGGGAATCACTCCAACAGTGGATTCATCTATTAATTAATGTTGAAAATAGAAGACATATTCACAAGCTCATTCATTCAATCCAATGAGCTCTTCTTCAGCAACAACATGTTTCGAGTACAAGTTCAATGGAAATTGTTTGCCTCATCCAATTGCATTACAGTTAAAGTAGAAGCCACTTCCAGAGAAATAATAATGCCTTTGGCATGGTTAAATCCTACTATTTAATATATATATATATATGTATATATATGTATGTATATGTATGTATATGTATATGTATATGTCTACCTTATCACTCAACAAGACAACTCTGTTGATTGAAAATTGAAACAGAACACACAAACCATTCTTGTCATTCAGCATTAAGAAATCTGTCTATTTAATATCATACAAATAAATGCGTTACTCGTTAAACTGCCAAACTAACACAAGCAAAAAGCCAGAATGCAAATTCGTATTGTTCAGCCTCAAGGGAGAGAATATAACAAATTCTTTTACTTCCCACAATAAAATCTAATGACAGAAATAAAGATCCAAACATCAAAGTTTTTCACAAATGGAATGACATACCTATTAAGAAGCTTAACTGAATTTCCTTTGAAAATGTAGTCGAATACCTCTGCCAAATGCTTGAAAACACGTCCGGTCGGGTATGAAACTTCAATCTCTAACAGTCCTGCTACCCGGATTTACGTAGTTGGATACATGGATCATTTAAAAGAAGACACGGGAACTCCCTAGGAGGACATGACTAATGAACTTGTCAAAAAGAAAAAGACATGACTAATGAACTTGTCAAAAAGAAAAAGACACGACAAAAGAGATCATTTTAGTCATGACTCGATATACAAACATAAGAAATAAAACATATTATCATTTGAGCGAAATTGCGTTCACTAAAATGCTATATAATATATGAAAAATAAAACATTAAAGCAACAGATTATTAGTAATCCGACCTATTTTATTACACATCCAATAACACGCTTGTTCATGACGATGCAAATGCAAGACCACACGCACAAGAAAATTGGACGGTGGTGCTGCAAGAATAAGTGCATCACGCTAGATACTTAAGAGAATTTGAAATTAGAGCATACATACTGATCTTAAACTAAGATAATTGGCTAAAAATATATCCGGTACCACAATTACCACTTTTCAGACATCTCTCACTTAGCTTCATGTACTCATGCAACTATAGAGCCAATTAACAAGATTACACTTACCAAAAGAGAAAAATGGATGATCTGACAACAATATAGTTAATAAGATAGGTAAGTGTTTACATTCAGTATACAGTTCAGGAGTTTAACAGCGGTCAATGATTACCAGGTGTGCTTTCTTTGCGATGAATCTCACAGCAACAAACTCACTATCATACATACATGATATTATGCATCGCCAGATTCGCCACCCTATCAACAAGATATATAAAAGAAAATCCCGAAATTCATGACCTGTTGAAATCAGTATCTCTACCTTTTAATTTCAATATGGAGTAATGTCAATTACCGTAGTTTTCACCCTGAAGAATAAGAAAGAAATTTAATTATATTACCACATACAGGTTCTTCAATGCACCATTAAGTTGGACAGGACAAACATCATTGATGGAAAGAAGCATGTCTACCTTTCAGTGAGATTCCTATTGTTTCAACTTCTTCAAGCATATTATTCTCTACTCATCTCACTGTCAAACCGTATTGAATTTTGTGACCACCGCCCAACAAAGAACTACATTTATATATATATATATATATATATATATATATATATATCCCTTTAATATGATTTTTCACTAAGACTGCCCCAGGAAACATCATTTTATCAAAGAGAATAGAGGAGGAAGATGATAGATCTCATAGAGGCCGGTGAGAAGCAACATTTAATAAATCTGCTGAATTGTGAACATTTGATTTATGATACACAATATTTTACAAAAAACTGTATGCACCAAACATAACACTAGAAAAAAGAATATTGTGAGTCTAATAACAAGTATCCACTTTATGAGAGAAAATATATATATATATATATATATATATATAAGTCGCTATATGAGAAATTCACGGCTTAAGCTGGCACCAAAACCCAAGCACCACCCAATATATGCAAACACAAAGAAAAACATAGAGTAGCAAAAACAGATGATTTTGCTATCACATATCTGACAACTTCATGACTTCCATCAACCACCGCCTCGTACATGACACTAAGACTTCTTTTCAAACCATCAAATAGTTTCTCCAGCAAAAACTCAAGGAAAGATCTAACTGTTTCAAATGTTACCCTCCCTGTCACATCAAGAACAAGCCTCCTATTGCTTGGTACAGCCAAAGTAGAAGACATCTTACTCACCCACCCACTATTCTCATTTTCATCAAATGATTTTCTTACTTTTGGTTCAGTTGATGTTGGTTCTAGCCCATTAAGCTCCTCCTGAACAGCAGTTGGACTTCGAAAATAATCAATAGTTAAATGTGAAGCACCTGAATTGATATCTGAATCTGTCTTTGTCAACACTTGGTGTGATGTTTTTACAAGAGTTTCTACTGCACCATTGCAGATCGATGCCAACATGTCTTTCATTTTTCTTTCGTGCTTGGGGTTAGTCAACCCTGAAAAAACTTCATCATATGTGTTGATATCCATGGTCTTGTCAAGATAAACGGCAACCGCTGTGCTCACAAACAACTGAACACAATCACCAATGAGTTCTCTGCACCTCTCACCACACACCACATTCACCCATTTTTGGACAGAATCCGATTCTGAAACATCACGATCAACACTCGTTGAATTATCCATACTAGATGTCTCATCAGAATAGAAAGCAATGACTAGGTTCCTAGCAAAGCTCCCAACTACTACAGAAGCAAAACCAGTCCCAGATGTAGAAGACAGCTTATCCATAACCCGGTCCAGAAACCCCGAATCGCCATTCACTCCATCACTATCCCTCACCTCTGATCGACACCCTCTCATAATTCCAACAGTTAAAGCTGTTGTAACCCTAATCACCGAATCCGAAAACTCCTCCGACTGTGTAATTTTAGAAACTTGCCTCAAACTATTGGGAATTTTGTCCGAGTCAGATTGTATAAACTCTTTCAAATCTTTGGACAAAACCCCAATTGTCTCCGCACAATCGGACACCATTTCAGCAACAGAAATGAGGGCTCCTAAGCACTTCAACAACCTCCTCCTCTTCTCAACCATAGAGGGGCAATAATAAACCCTATATACCCCATAACCAGAAACCCCCAAAGCTGCCAATAGAAGAACCCAATTCTTCCTTTTTCGAGTATAAACCAAACCACTCTTCACTAGTTGCAAATCCATACTACCCAAAATCGAACACCACCAGATTTACAAAAATCTAAAAGAAATTGCGGGTTTGGTCAGGAGTTCATAATTTCAGCTAGAACAGAATTGATGACCGAATTGAACGTGGGTTTATAATTTCACGGAACACCACCAGGTTTACAAAAATCTAAAAGAAATTGTGGGTTTGGATTGTAATCAAGACTTCAGAATTTTAACTATAACACAATTGATGAGCTAATTGAACATGGGTTTATAGAACATCACCAGGTTTACAAGAATCTAAAAGAAAATTATGGGTTTGGATTGAAAACAAGAGTTCAGAATTGATGAGCTAATTGAACATGGGTTTATAGAACATCACCGGGTTTACAAGAATCTCAAAGAAATTGTGGGTTTGGATTGTAATCAGGAGTCTAGAATTCCAACTATAACAAAATTGATCACTAATTGAACATGGGTTTATAATTTCACATGTAAATCTACAACTACAAGCATAAACAAGAACAAAATTACATTTATACACATAGATATATGTATAGATATGTATATGGGTATTGTGTGCACGAACCTGAGGAGAGAGGAGAGAGAAGGGGAGTGACGTGAGAGCGGTTGCAGAAGAGGGTAGTGGCGTCTGGTGCAGGGAAAGAGAAGAGTAGTGGGCAATTGGGCATGTGCTTGTCAATGGAGGAGAGAGAGCCAACGATCAGAGTCAATAGAGCTCAACCACTAGAAAATATATTATGAATTCGTAATAATAAATGAACAAAACAGACCTCGGAATTGGTGTTTACGAAAACTACGACAGCTATATCGTCAGAAAATTTGATCGTTTTAATTCATTTTGGATGATAATGATACACTCACCAATACGTATATATATATTGCAAATATATACAAAATAATATAAGCAAAGGATCGATACAAAATAATAAACTTTAAATAAGTGTTGTACAGACTTACAAAAAATTTTCTTTATTAAACTTCAAACTGGTACAGAGAAATATTACAAAGGAGAGAAAAGATAATTAAAAGATACATTGAAGGGAAACATTACCCTCTATTTATACATAAAATGGACTTGAAATTAACAATTTGAAGTCTGCATAGTGCATGGGATCGTGTGCTGGAATAATGCAGTCGGTCGGCCCACCACTAAGTGCTGTCTCCTTATCTGATGGAAAGTAGACATCTGATGAAGGAAATACTGTTGAGGCAAAGACTTTGGAGAAAAGTTCTTTGTCGTCTTCTGTCGGCAGGATAAGAGGAATCTTTACTTTTTGGGTGGATTCATCTTGTCCTTTAAGTGCTCAGTGAGAGAGTCCCAATAGTCTGCTACGGTAGGCTCATCTTCTGAAATAAGATCTTCATTGGGATCTTGTGCATAACCGGCTAGACAGGAAAACTGATTACCGTCTTGGCTGGTTTGGCTAGAGACTGATATCATAGATGCATCATCTCTTACTGTAGGAGTGGAGGATTCAAAGGATTTAACAAATTTAGTCCTCATAAAATCCATGCATTTAACCATTAAATCAGCTTCGGTAATTAATGGTTGTTGTTTTCTGATCATATCTTTAACGAGATCAAATGGGTTAAAGATTTCAGGTTCTGGAATAGTTAACTTTGGAATCTTATCCATATATTCCATTGTTTTCTTTCTGATCTGATGGAGGAGGGCTTGAATAGGTTCTTGAGTCATGCCTGACCACCATCTGTAATAAAAGATCCGCTGAAGGACCGGTAACTTGTCAGTGGTATAACCACATTGGAAATCCCATTTCCAAATCCAAGGGATTCCAAATTCAGTAAAGAACAATAGGGTGGATTTCCCTACAGGAATATTATCCTGTCCTCGTAATTGAGGATGAAATTGTTGCCATGGCAAATATAATTGACTGATAGATTCGGGCAACATATCCAGATCAGGGCCAAATATAACCCACCAGGGTATAACCCAGTTTGGGAAATCAGTCTTAACTGATTGAGGACATATCTTGAAGAACCAAGAATGCCTATGCTTCGGATTTTGATAAAAGAACGAATATGTCCATGCTGAGATATAATCCCAATAATTGTAACTGTGACCATAGGATATTTTCCTTGGCAAATTGGGATTTAATCCCCAGTCACTAGGCCTTATAAGCCTCTTAAAGATAGCTTTACTATAAGTAAGAGGACTATCTTTGGAATTCGGAAATTGCTTCGTGTGGTTGATCTCCACAGAGGAAGTTTCAGTAAGAATGGCTTCATAGATATATCTATGGCGACCATCCGGTGCAGCATATTGTTGGGTTTGGAAATATCTGGATTTTACTTCCCAAGGATCTGGCATCCATTGTTCATCTTGAGAATCCAGTACCAATACTGTTTGAATATACCTTTGATTAGGTATCCATGGAGTTTCTTGTTCAAGAACCTCTTTCATGGTTGGTTTCTGTTGTTTTTGCTGGGAACTGCTGCCTCCTTTAGAAGGATTTTTGAGCAGATCAGCAACATGCTCCAAATATGGAAACTGATCATCAGTGAGTGGTATAACCACTTTGGCCTTAGCCTTGTTTTTGCCACGAGCCTTTGGAGTAGTACCCCGGCCCTGCCCATGGGGGGGCTGATTCATGAACCCTGCAAAAATTCACGAGTTAGAAAATCAGGTAAAGAATTAGAGCTGCCTTTAATATATTCAATAGAAAAATCAAAAGCAGATAAATCAGCTTGCCAACCAGCAAATATCTGTTTGGAAACTAAATTCTTTACATCTTTTTCCAGTACTTGTTTAGCAGCACTACAATCAATGCGTAACAAGAATTTCTGATTGATTAAATCATCTTGGAATTTATAAATGCATTTAACCAAAGAAAGAATTTCCTTTTTTATGGTTGAATAATTTAATTGTGCATTTTTCCAAGTTCCTGAAGTGAAGCGAACAAGCTCTTCTGTTCCTGTAGTTGGATTTTTCTGTTTAAGAATACCACCGTATCCAATATTGGAGGCATCTGTTTCCACAATTTTGAACCATGAAGAATTGGCTAGAGCTAAACAAGGAATTTGTTTGGCTCTGAGTTTAATCTTCTGGACTGCTTTGGTGTGTTCCAAAGTCCATGGAGAAGGAGATTTCCTTAACCTGGTATACAAAATTGCTGTGTCCTGTGCAAGATTTTTGTAGTGACTTCGAATATAATTCAAGCTACCCAGAAATCTTTGAAATTGAGTTTTATCCTTAATCTCATCTGGAAATTTAGAGGCAAACTCAATACTGCGATTAATAGGTCTAATTTTTCCATCACAAATTTCATGACCAAGAAATCGGACCTTAGTTAAAAACAGTTTTAGTTTAGGAGCAGAAACTACTAAACCACTTCGGTAAATGACATCTTTGAAAATTTTCAAGTGTTTATAATGCTGATCAATTGATTTTGAAAATATGAGAATATCATCAATATAAACAATCGAAAATTCAGTAAAAGGATTAAATATGTCATTCAAAATATGTTGAAATTCTGAAGGGGCATTTTTTAATCCAAATGGCATTACTGTCCATTCATACTGTCCGAAAGGTACACAAAAGGCTGTTTTGTACCTGTCTTCTTCTGTAATTTGCACCTGGTAATATCCAGATTTAAGATCAAATTTAGAAAAGATCACAGCAGATTGTAACCTATCTAAAAGATCTTTGATGTTGGGAATTGGGTATCGGATCCAACTTAAAGTAAGGTTAAGTGGCCGATAATCAATAACCAATCGAGGAATTCCTCGTTCTTTTTCAGCATTTTTATTGACATAAAAAGCTCTGCAACTCCAGGGGGAGTAGCTAGTAGTGACAAGCTTTTTAGCCATTAAAGAGCTGATTTCAGTTTTACATAATTCCAAGTAGTCAGCTTTCATGTGGCTGGGACTAGCTTTAGAAGGAATCATGCTATCGGTAAACCCCTTTTCATAGGGTAAAGAAACAATATGCTTCTTTCTGGCCCAAAAAGCATTAGGAATCTCACTACAGATTTCTTTTAGAAAGTTTTGTCGTAGTGACTCAATTTTCCTTTGCTCAATGGGTTGTACCAATCTTTGATTAATTGGATTTGCATCATTGAGCTGGAGAACCTTGGCCAAGAATACATCTTTATACCACCGGAAATGAGTTAAAGATGGACATCTTAGATTTTGCAGAAGTTCACAACTCCGTTCACTATTAGCACCTTCAGGGCCAACAAAATGTTGGATAATAGTGGTAATGAGTGTGTAAACAGCATCAGGAGTAGGGCCTGATTGTTGAGTAGCTTCATCTTTAACAAGCTTAGTTGCAGAAAAGATTTCAGCTTTCTGAATGTCAGTGAGAACATTATCCCACCATCCTTTAAGGATACCTGTAAAACCAGCAACGACAAACTTAGCAATGGTTGGGTCAGTATTGTTGTTGATTTTACAGACTTGGCCCAAAAAGCATTAGGAATCTCACTACAGATTTATTTTAGAAAGTTTTGTCGTAGTGACTCAATTTTCCTTTGCTCAATGGGTTGTACCAATCTTTGATTAATTGCTAAAGAGGATACCTCCTTTTGCAAATAATTCAGTTGTTTTTCCTTGAAGATAATGTTATCTTTCAGAGCATTGATATGCTTATTTACTGGTGGGGTCAAGAACTGGAAAGTAATTGACTGACCATGTAAATTAGAGCATATTCCATGAGAATCAATTTTCTCAATTGGCATAATCAAAGCTAAAAAGGGAGTGCCCAAAATAACTTGTTGTGCCATGTTTCGGATGAGTAAGAAAGTAGATGGTAGACAAATACCTTCTTTACAAATGAAAACATGATTAAGTTTATACTTAATCTGCATCTTACCTCCACTTGCACTGGTAAGACCTTGAGTGGTTTTCTCAAAATATTGAGTAGGAACCAATCCTTCCTGTATGCAGTTCATGTCTGCACCACTATCAACTAAAGCAATTGCATTAGTGATTGTGTACTCCTGGTTAATTACCAAATTGATAGATATATACCATTTTTGGTAAGTAACTTGATTCAAAAGTTGAAGATAATTAGTACCTTCGGATTAAGGAACTTCATCATGGGATGATGAAGATGGAATTGCAGATTTTGCTTTTAAAAGTGTTATTTCCAAATCCATCTTAGTCTGACAAGACTTTAATTGACGAATTTCTTCTTTTAAAAGATTAATCTCCATTCTAAGATCAGGGAGATTAGTAGGACGAGAATTTTGTCCTTGGTGTTCTAATCTGCTTAGAACTTCTTTCATGCTGTAATGATTTTCTGCTCTCAGAAAACCTGGATTATCCGTATCCTCATTAGATCGTGCCAGAGCAGAACCTATTTCAAAGACTTTCATCTTGATCTGAGGATCTTGGATATGATCTATAAGATCCAATAAGGATTGTTGGGTCGAGGTCAAAACATTTAAGCTTAACCCATTCATCTCAACAATTGCCTTATAGTAATCATCATACGAAGGATTACAGGAACATCTAGGGTTTTCAATCTCTGCTTCAGAGGAAGAAGAAGACTGTAATTCCATGACAACATCTCCGTAATCACTTGATGATTCTGGTTCAGAAGAACTAGTATTAAGTAACAATTTACTTAATTGAAGTCTCAGTTCCTCTTCTATGTGAAGACTACTGAGTTTCTCCTTAGTTCTGCATTTGTTTGCATAACGGCCAATACGTCCACATTTGAAACATTTAGCCTCAGCTTTGGGCTTTCCTTTACCCTTTGCTTTAGGAGTATATCTCCTTTTAGGCTTAGTATACTGTCTAGAATTATCCTTTTCCTTTGAATAATTCTTCCGTTTGGAATACTTCCTTTTATAAGGTTTTTCAACCTTATTTCTTTTCCTAGGTTTAGGATA